TTTTCAGTTCTGTCTCAGGGGTAATTTTTCCACGAGTAGTTGTAAATTGGCTGTGTCCACGGGAGAAGGTGAGTTCCGAGTCTGCTTACGCCGCCCTCTTGACTCCGCCTCCTTTTTAATTTTTAATTTTTTTCTTGATTATGCATGTACACACATATGTTTAAGATTATGCTCTGTATTCAGCTTGATATTCTGTATTTTTTACTTAGCACTTTATCATGTCTTTTTGGAGTTGATGGAGCTAATCATTAAAATTATTTGCCCAATATTTTGAAGATCAAAATAACCTTTTTTAACAACACACACACACAAGTTGGGTGGTGGTTGGGGATAGGATAGGGACAATGAATTTTTTACTTCTCTTTTCTGAAACACAACTAAAAAATACCCTGACTTAGTTCTATGACTTGGGGGTAAAGTTAGGATAAAAAAATCACTCACTCTCAGGTATAATTATAAAAAGTGCTGAAGAATGAAATTGGCTTTGATTGGATCAAAAGCTTAGCCTATAATACATGCCTTCTAACCAAAATAGAGTCAAGTGGTTTTAATTAGGCTCCTTACTCCATGTGTCCTACTGCTCCAAATAACCAGGCTATTGCTACAGGCATCGTCCAGAATAATTCACACTTGCAACGTAAAACGAATTTATATACCATTTAAAATTTTTTTCTCTCTTAAAACAGCAAAATTTTTGCATCTAGTAAACCAATGTTATGAGGCATTTAATGTTGAGAAAGAGCAGTTCAATTCATGAAAGCAAAATTTTGTTCCATTTCTTTGTCTTTTCTGATGCAAAGATCTCAATCTGTTTTTTCCATTAGTTGATATGAATGATATCAGATTAATAAAAATAGAAATATTAGCATAGAAAACATGGAATGAAGATAATCAAATATAGACATTACTTCCATTTTTTCTAGTGGTAACTGGTTTTATTATATTCTCTGTGGCTGTATCTTTCTCTAGATATTCAACATGGCAGAAAGTGAAGATATCAAATGTGACTTTTGGATATCTTATCAGTGTGCACTTCCATCAGAGAATGACTTTTTATCTTACCATCTATGTCATTAATATGCTAGTTTTGAATAATTTCTCATAATTAAAATTCTATGCTGAAGAAGCATTTAGAAATTATCAAAAAAGTTTTTTATGACCTATAGGTAGAATCATATCCAAATCACCCGAAAGAGAATGGGTTTTCAAAACCTTAAGAGGGGTTTCCGCAGCTTTGTTTTTGACAATGTCATTAACCGTATTGTCTGAGAAACCTTCGTTACACAAAACAATAAAAATGCCAGATTTTTTTCATGAATTTTATAAATGTGTAGTTGAGCTGGAAGGAAGTAAGGAAATTCGTAGTGGTAAATGTGATGCAAAATACAAAATCGAGTTTATCTTGTGAAAAAATTGGTTTAACATTAGAAAATCCCAAAAGCATGGCAATAAATTCAACATTCACTCATTCACAACTAAAACAATGGCCACTTTTGGCAGACAAGGAATAGATAAAAAGTTTCTACAGAAAAAACTGTAGCAAATACCATAGTCAATTGTGAAATGTAAAAAGCATTTCCTTTAGGATCAGGAGAAAGAGAAAGATACCCACTCTCATTACTTGTTTTCATCATGGTTCTGGAATGTCTAGCAAGTTCAATAAGATAAGAAAAAAGAGAGTGTAAAGATTGAAAAAAAATCATTATGTATTATATAACTGTCTACATAGAAAACCCAAAATAATCCACAGAAAAATTATTAGAAATAGCAGGAGCATTTACCAAGTTTGCCAGATATAAAATCCATATACAGAAATCCAGTGCATGTCTACATGCTAACAAGAAGACATTAGAAAATTTAATTTAAAAAATATATCATTGAAATAATTTATTCAGGAAAGGTTCCTCAGTGCATGGAACCAACCATTAGATGAAAAGTTGGTAAAAGGTGAACTTTACACACATAAGAAACCAGGCTGTGTCACTACCTTAATTCACTGATGAATCTTAGCCTAAGAGTGAGGAAACCAGACATTATATGCTTTCTGATGTGAGGCAATATGAAGTATACAACACCATTATTTGGTATTCTGACCTAAAAAGTTGAAACTGAATCTGCTCAAGTCTTTAAGTATCCAAAAAAGAAAAACGAAAAAGCAGGAGATAAAGAAACAAGTTAAATGATACCATAAAGAAGCAGACAGACAGTCCAAAATGTGAGTCATTTTACAGAACACCTGTCTCAGCTTCTTTAACAAGTCAGTGCCATTAAAAAAGGGAACAGGGGAGGGGGAGGTGAGGGACTTTCCTCTAGATTAATAGAGACTTGAAGTATTTAACAAACACAATGCTGTGGACCTTTTTTTGATTCTGATTCAAACAAGCCACTATTAAAAAAATGTTTTTGAGACAACTGGGGAAATTTAAATATGGACTGGATATTGAATGATGACAAGGAATTATTGTCAATTTTGTTAATACATTGTTGAAAGAGTACTTTTTCTAGAGTACTTTATATAAGGAACCGTGTGTAAATGACATGATGTCTGGAATTTAAAATGACAACAAAACATATAAGGTACCTAGGAATAAAAGAAATGCAAGTCTTTTATCAAAGAAATTATAACACTTTGTTGAAAGCCTTTTAAGGAGAGCTAAATAACTGGAAAGATATGCCATGTTAATGCATTGAAAGATTCAAGAGCATGGAAGTGTTGATTCTTCCCAAGTTGATTTTTAAATTCAGTGCAATTTCGATCAAAATCCCAATAGGCTGCTGTTGACTTTTGGTTGCCGTGGTTGTTGGTTGGTTGGTTTAATAGAACTTGACAGTCTGGTTCTGAAATTTATATGAGAAGTGTAAAGAGCCAAGAATAGCCACAATAGTCCTGGAGAAAAACGAGGTTGGCAGGCTTGCCTTACTAGGTACTATTGAGACTTCTTGTAAAGGTATAGTAATTAGAGTAGTATAGATCTGGCATCGAAATACACAAAGATACCAGACTAGAGATTCATAATACAGGCACACATGTATGTAGAAACTTTGTATATGACAGAAATAGCAATGCATGTAAGTACTGCTGGGACGATTAGTTATCAATATATGTAAAAAGTGAAATTTTATTCTTGCCTCATACCATACCCCCAAAATGAAATTATATCTTTACCTCATACCATACACAACATCAGTTACAGGTAGATTAATGACTTCAGTGTGGAAGACAAGGTTACAAAATTTTTAGGGGAATATCTTTATGAACTTGGGATGGGGAAGATTTTATGAAAAAGTCACAAAATTGCAAACCATAAAGAAGATTGGTACATTTGAAACAGTTAAAATTTTTAAATTTTATGAATGAAAACATAACCGTAAAACAATCAAAGAAATAATTCATAGATTGAAGAAAATATTTATATAACATACAACAGGTAAAAGGTTATTATCCAGAATATATGAAGAATACTTATAAGTCATTAAGAAAAAGATATCTTAATTGAAAAATGAGCAAAACACATAAATAGCTATTTCATGGAAGTGGAAACAGGAATTGCCTGATACTATATGAGAAGATGTTCAGCCTCAGTAGTCAGGAACGTGCATTTTAAAACTACGAGGTATGGGGCCGGCCCCGTGGCTTAGTGGTTAAATGCGTGCGCTCTGCTGCTGGCAGCCTGGGTTCGGATCCCGGGCCCGCACTGACGCGCCGCTTCTCCGGCCATGCTGAGGCCGCGTCCCACATACAGCAACTAGAAAGATGTGCAACTATGACATACAACTATCTACTGGGGCTCTGGAGGAAAATAAACAAATAAATAAAAATTATAAAAAAAAAAATAAATAAAAAAAAAATAAAACTACGAGGTATTATTTATATATACTAGATTGGTAAAAGCAAGTCTGATAGTACCAAGTATTAGTGGATGTGTAGAAGTGTGACAGGCACTGTTATGCACTACTAGTGAAAGTATAAATTAATACAGCTTCTTGGAAGTAATTAGTGAAATTGAAGGTGTACCTACTAAATGGCCTAGCAATTTAGTTTCTAGGCCTCTACCTCGGAGAAACTCTTGCACAGAGATATCAGAATGTACCTAGCAGCATTGTTTATAATAGTAAGAAAAACAAAAACAACCCAATTGCCCATCACCTTGGGAATGGGTTAAAACAATTGCCATATATTAGTTTATACTGCAGTGAAAATGGAGGGGATAAAACAATACATTACACTCATTGAACAGTATGATTCTCAAAACATATATTGAAAAGAAAAAACAGTTTATTAACAACTTTATATATAAATTTCAAAAACATGCAATCTAAATGAAAGATCCATAGGTGTAGCAAAACTATAATAAAAGCAAAGGGATTTTAAACTCAAAATTTAGAATATAGGTTATTTTTATCTTAGTGTGGAGGCAGTGGAGTAGGATAGGAAGTTTCAGAAGTAAAGATAATGTTCTCTTGCTTAAGCTGGGTTCCCAGATCTTTCTATCATTATTTTCATATACATATACATTATAGATAGCCTTTTGAAAGTTTGAAATAGTTAACAATAGTAAAATTAGAGTTGAATTACAAAACCTTTCTTAATCAGCCATTCTACTATTTCATAGCATTGATGTCAGGAGACTGTTTCCATATTTCCAACATAAATCTCTGAGTTGGTTTCTTTTTTCTGTCATTTCCGACTATCACATGGCTTTCTTTTGTTTTATGATTTCATTGTGCTTCATAAAGTACATGCTGAAATACATCTTCCTGAAACATCATTGTTAACAATTTGCTCCCATTGGTAGGAAAGAATTTGGAAGTGTTGGGAAAATTTTGCAGCAGGAAGTCTTTGTTGGTTTTCAGCTGTTCCTTGGTGTCAGCGGTGCAAGTCTGTAAATAAACATATATTTTTCTACGCATGTATATGAATAGCTTGATTTTTCTCCTCCTTATCAATAGGCAAGTGAAAGACCAGAATAAGAAAGTAGCAAATCTGAAGCACAAAGAACAGGTGGAAAAGAAGAAGAGTGCACAGATGCTAGAGGAGGCTCGACGAAGGGAGGACAATCTCACTGACAGCTCCCAACAACTACAGGTCAGAATGCAAGGAGGATCTGGAAGGATCGGGTGAAGAGATTTGATCCATAATTGCATGTTGTTTTTCTCTTCATCTTTATCCTCCTCTTTTTTCTCTTTCTAACCCTGCTTGCTGCCTTCCTCTCAGACCAACTCTTTAGCAATAAAGGAATGGCTTTAAATAGAAAAGGCAAGTTTTATTCCACAGCTTTGTGAGGACACCTCAGCATAGGACAAAGTTCATCTTGCTTCGAATTGATCACATTTATTTGGTAAGTTCAATGTCAGTTTAATACATGGGTTCTATTGAGCTTCAGGGTGGTCAGTATAACTATTTACCATTTTCCTTCATCAAAGTGCACTGCTAATCTTGGTTTGTGTCTGTTTAACTTTCTTTTTTTTCATTCTTCCTTTCCCTTTTTTCCCCACCTCTCTTTCCTTTTTTTTGCTCCCTCTTTCTTTCCTTCCTTTTAAAAAACTCAATTTAGAGAGCATATTTCACAGTCATACAGGACGTATATACTACACTTTTTTACTTCAATGAAATGATAATTGATCTGTAAACCCAATTAATCACATTAAGTTAAACCAGGCTTGGTAACAATAGTAGCAGTGACCACATTATAAGTGCCAATTATGTGCCCAGTTCTTGCAACTAGGCCCTGGTCACTCATTGTTTCTGACCTTCACAATAATTCAGTGGGGCAGATGGTTTTGTGCACGTTTTACAGATGAGGAAATAGACTCAGAGAACTTGAATTTCTTACCTAAATGCACACAACTTTATAAGTGGCTCAGCTATGATTTTAACCGAAACTTCCTGGATCTCTAGCATGTCAGAATGAAGGTTTAGGTTTTCAAGAAGAATACCATTTACTTGCTGGAAATCTCTGAAACTCCTGCTAAGACTGCTAAGCCACTGCCAGATTGTTTTTCTCTTGTTACAACTTCTAATGGGGTATGATAGAGTGTTTATGCCACAATTGCATAATCAGGAAATCTTTACTGCAGAGATTTAGAGGAGTTATCTGTTATGTGGAAGCCATTTTTAGGCTTTACAACAAATTCATTTCAGACATGAAAATCCAACTTTTTCTTTTTTTCATTCCTATTTTATATAACTTTTACTGTTTATAAAATACATACTCTTTACAGAAACAGTGTAAGTTTTCTCAAATGCATCAACTTTTGAAAAAAGCAGCATACCAGTTTGCCCTCACCCTTGCCAGCAACAGTTGATGCTGTCAGTTTTCTTCCTTCTTTTTTATTTTTTTGTTCCAATCTGATGGGTGGAAAATATTTAATTTTTGTTTTAATTTATGTTTCTCTGATTACCAGTGAGGCTGAATATATTTTCTTGTCTTAAATTTTAATTTGTTTGTTAATGTAATTCAAATTTATCTCTTTTCCGTGGTGGCTTTTTTACTTAGTTCATCCCCATTTTGAGAACATATAAATACTTCGAGTCATGCATCGCTTAATGACAGGGATACATTCTGAGAAATGTGTTGTTAGGCAATTTCAGTATTGTGTGAACATCATAGAGTGTACTTACACAGACCTAGATGGTATAGCCTACTACACACCTAGGCTATGTGGTACCAATTTTATGGGACCACCCTTGTACATGCAGTCCATTGTTGACTGAATGGTCGTTATGTGGCACATGACTGTACTTATAAATATTTTTAAGATATTCTGGGCTTTCATTTTTTACCTTTACTACTTAATTTAAATTATTTTAGGATATTTTGTGTGGTGAGGGTCTTATTTTTTCTTTATTGCTAACAATTTAACTAGACTATAGGAAATTATTTCATTGCTCACAAGTTTGAATTGGCATCTTTGTACTTTATGAAATTGTTTAATAATTAGACTATTTCTAGGATTTCAATTCAAACTCTTGAACTAGGATCACATAGCTTTTAATTATAGAAAAGATTTATAAGACAAGCCCTTCTTTGTGTTAGCCTCTTAACTGTTTGTCATTTCTGTCCCCCATTTGATGTTTTCTACTGCTAGTCTATCTTTGTAAACCGAAAGATGCGTTTTTAATCTTCTATCAGTTGTTATGATAACACCAAACGAGCTTTCACATGTAACCTCTTATTTCCTCTTTATATAATCCAAGAAAGAACTAAGTCAGATTATTTATTTATATATTACATACAGAGAAAACTAATTTAGAGTGGATGAGTGACTTTTCCAAGGTATCTCAGTAAGTGATAGATATTAAAGTTATTAAAAATGATAGCTGATGGCCATATACAAGATACACATGGATGTAATTCATTCAAATGTAGTATAAAGAGCACTGGACTACAAATAGAATGCTGTGGATCTGATCTTATCTCTTTTACTAACTAGCTCTGCTACTTATTTAACTGTGTTATTGCAAATGACAACCCAGTGGTAGTGAGTATCCCTAGCACCCAGATTGTGATCTCTAAATATGATTTCCCCCTAAAAGAAGCTAGGGATATTTGGAGAAATGGCTAATAGTAGAATTCATGGGGGAGTAGAAAAGCAATTAACTGAGGATTTGTATTAAAAAAATGTTCTTATTACCTGAATTTTTTTGTGTGTTTTAAATTTCTGAATATACATTTGGATCCACCTGTTGATGTTTTTGTGAAATAGAAGTAAAGGGAAGGAATTATTTTAGTATTTTCATGATAGGCATAATAATAATTCTAAGATTAAAATATATTCTTTATTATGTTAAAAAGAAATTTAATGTTTTGAACTTTGATGAGTAATCAATATTTAGTCTTTGTCAGATGCCACCTTGGCATCCAAAGATTAATTCTACTAATCATGTTAATAAACACATAATGTGTTTTCTTTTGTTTGTGAAGATTAAAACTTGGTTTAATCTAGAAGGTTCATTTTCATCTTTTGTTATTCAGTGACTGCCAATTATGATGTTAAGTTCATCTGTGGCTTCACTCTTCCTGGTAGAAGTTATAGTTTGCCAAAAAAGCAGTAGTACTACTTTTTTATTTACTTTTCTCTATTTTGAAGAATAAAATACATTTTAAAAAAAGTACATAGCACGCACACACACGCACACACACACACACACGATGCAAATAGTACATATAAAGTGATCGTCTCAGGCATTAGAATATTACTGGCATCCCAGAAATCATGTGTCTATTACTTCCCAATCATTATTTCCCCTCATCCTCCAGAGGAGATCGTTATTGTGATTTTTATTTCTTTTCTTTACAACCTGTGTATATATTAAATAAAAACTATGGATTAGTTTTGCATATTTTTACTTTATGTAAATAGAGGCATTGTATTTATTCTTTAGTGACTTCTTTTGTTCAGCATCCTGTGTGAGGTTTATTCGTGATAGTTGCACGTAGAATTTGCACATTTATTGTCCTTGCTATACTGTGTTTAGTTTTTATTTTTTTTGTGAGGAAGATCAGCCCTGAGCTAACATCCGTGCTAATCCTCCTCTTTTTGCTGAGGAAGACTGGCTCTGAGCTAACATCTATTGCCAATCCTTCTCCTTTTTTTCCCCCAAAGCCTCAGTAGATAGTTGTATGTCATAGTTGCACATCCTTCTAGTTGCTGTATGTGGGACGCGGCCTCAGCATGGCCAGAGAAGTGGTGCGTCGGTGCGCGCCCGGGATCCGAACCCTGGCTGCCAGTAGCGGAGTGCGCGCACTCAACCACTAAGCCACGGGGCCAGCCTGACTGTGTTTATTTTTTTTTATTTTTTTTTTAAAGATTTTATTTATTTATTTTCCCCCCAAGGCCCCAGTAGATAGTTGTATGTCATAGCTGCACATCCTTCTAGTTGCTGTATGTGGGACGCAGCTTCAGCATGGCCGGAGAAGCGGTACGTCGGTGTGCGCCCGGGATCCGAACCTGGGCCGCCAGCAGCGGAGCGCGCGCACTTAACCGCTAAGCCACGGGGCCGGCCCTGTGTTTATTTTTAATTCAAAATTTCATGTTTTATCTTGAAAATATTTTAAAAAATAACTTTCTTTCCAGTTTTTGTTTTTTGAATACTTCAGATGGAACTAAAAGTATTCCTTTTTGGCAGAAAGTGGGTTTGGAAATAAGTTGTTACTTTACTCTTTGTTCTTGGCTCAACGCATTAAAAGTGTTCTGAAGAGATTAAACAAATTCCTTACATATAAAATGAAAATGATACCCCAAAATGGAGAAAATCTAGGGATCCCACAGACTCTAAACACTGCCTTTGTTTACCTTGGCCTTAGTTATGAATACCCTTTCTTAAGATATCACATTGCCACTTGCCTGTATCCTGTTTGTACCTTTGTGTTTTGTACAGTTATTGCTATGATCTGTATTAACTAGTCTCAAGCTTTTTGGTTTTAGAAGCTCCTTTATACTCTTAAAAATTATGCAGTCCCAAAAGTGATTTTTTTATGTGGGTTATAATTATCATATACATATGCAGTTACTTAGTGACCCAGCTATCCAGTGTCTAGCTGTTTGTGAAGATACATCTTCAATAATATAATTGTAGTCTTGTTGGTAATTGCAAAATATTGGAGACGACTCAATTGCAAATAGGTAGGAGAGTGCTTGAATTCATTATGGTACATTCACACATTGGAGACTGGCAGCTTTAAAAAAGAATGAGGAAGATCTCTAATGAACCAATATGGAGTGATTTCTAGACATCCTGTTAAGTGAAAAAAGAAAAAAAAAGCACAAAATACTATCTATAGTATGCTGTTCTTATTATAAGAAAGTACACACATGTCTGATCTTTTTTGTAAAAGAAAACAGAAAGGATAAACTAGAAACTAAAGAGACCAGTTTTCTACAGGAATGGTTGGGAGAGGGGTGGAAAGGAGGGGGAAATGGGATTGGGGTGATAAATTTGAGGAGAAAGTGATGCTTTTCTTAGCATATCTCTTTGTATAGCTCTGACTCTTAGAACTGTAGTAATGTTTCACATACTCTAAAAACTACAACCAATCAAGATGTAGGGTGGAACCCCAAAAGGAACACAAGTGCTAACAGATG